GTCCGCGCCCAGAAGCTCCCGAACGACGCACTCCAGAGTGACTACCACGACCACCACCCCGAGAGCCCAAACTCGCGTACCACTCACGAGCCCGCTGGAGCGTAAGAGGACACTGCTGCTGCACCTGTCCACTACCAGATGCTCCCGAACAACGCACGCCAGAGCGACTACCACTACGGCCACCCCGACAGCCCAAACTGGCGTACCACTCTCGGGCCCGCTGGAGCGTAAGAGGACACTGCTGCTGCACCTGTCCACTACCAGATGCTCCCGAACAACGCACTCCAGAGCGACGACCACGACGGCCACCCCGACAGCCCCAACTAGCGTACCAAGCACGTGCACGAAGCAGCTGGGGCGAAGGAGGGCACGGCAGCTGCACCTGTCCACTACCAGAAGCTCCCGACCGACCCACTCCAGAGCGACCACCACTACGGCCACCCCGACAGCCCCAACTAGCGTACCACTCACGCGCACGAAGCTGCTGGGGCGTGAGGGACTCACGCGCACGGCCCTGGAGCTGCATCTGGCCACGCCAGGAGCAGCAGTAGTAGCAGTAGCGGCAGCAACAGTAGTAACAGCAGGAGCTGTGGCAGTGGGAGTAGAAAAGGCAGTAGCAGCAGTAGCAGCGGTAGCAGTGCTGGGCAATGCTCACCAGTGGTCGGCGCGGCAGGCGCAAGACGGTGGCGACAGCGGGGCCGCTACAACTGCAGGGCTGGGCCGAGCCGCACCAGGGAGCTCCGCGGCAGCTGTTGCAGGGCGAGGCCGGGCCGCGACGGCAGCTGCTCCAGGTGCCAGGGGCGGCTGCTGCAGTGGCGGCGGCTCCAGGGGCCAGGGGCGGCTGCTGCAGCGGTGGTTGCTCCAGGGGCCAGGGGCGGCTGCTGCAGGTGCGGGCTGCTCCAGGGGCAGCTGCTGCAGGTACGTGCTGCTCCAGAGGGGGCTGCTGCAGTGGCGGGCGGCTCCAGGGGCTGCTACTGCAGTGGCGGGCGGCTCCAGGGGCTGCTGCTGCAGTGGCGGCTGCTCCAGGGGCTGCTGCTGCAGTGGCGGCTGCTCCAGGGGCGAGAGGCGGATTAGGTCAGGGCGACGCGGCGAGAAGGGCGACGCGGCGGGCAGGTGGCGACGCCGCGGGCAGGGCGACGCGGCGGGTAGGTGGCGACGCCGCGAGCAGGGCGACGCGGCGGGCAGGTGGCGACGCCGCGGGCAGGTCGACGCGGCGGGCAGGTGGCGACGCCGCGGGCAGGGCGACGCGGCGGGCAGGTGGCGACGCCGCGGGCAGGTCGACGCGACGAGCAGGGGACGACGCCGCGGGCAGGCGACGACGCCGCGGGCAGGTGACGACACCGAGGGCAGGCGACGACGTCGCGAGCAGGCGACGACGCCGCGGGCAGGCGACGACGTCGCGGGCAGGCGACGACGCCGCGGGCAGGCGACGACGCCGCGGGCTGGCGACGACGCCGCGGAAAGCGGGCCGCGCGCGGGTGGCTAGCAGGCCGTGCGTGCGCGGTAGGGAGAGGCGCACGAGGGCGCAAGAGCGCACGAGGGCGCGCGGTAGGGAGAGGCGCACGAGGGCGCGAGGGCGCACGAGGGCGCGCGGTAGTAAGAGGCGCACGAGGGCGCGAGGGCGCACGAGGGCGCGCGGTAGTAAGAGGCGCACGAGGGCGCGAGGGCGCACGAGGGCGCACGGTAGTAAGAGGCGCACGAGGGCGCGAGGGCGCACGAGGGCGCACGGTAGGTAGGTAGGTAGGTAGCGGTGGGCCCTAAAACGGTCCTAGTGAAGGACCTGCTCTGATACCATGTCAGAATGAACGGACAGGAATGATTGAACTAACAGTGAAATCAGTACAAGTACCTAACCCTAGAATTGTGTACCCCCTATAGGCTAACCCACTGTAGCCTAAACAAACACAACATATATAATGTTTGACAAGTATGCGTCTGGAATCCATTATACAAATATGTTGTGGACAGGAAACGTAAAACTTTTACGGGAGAGTAGTCGGAGGTCTTGTCAATTGTGTTGTGTTACGAGGGAATGAGGATGCACGCTCGGTTGATCTGATTCGAGTCCTACAGTATTTTTGTGCTGAAGTCGCTTTTTCTTTCATAGTACACATGATGCCCGACCAGTGCACGCGAATTTGCCCTGCGCCGGATGGAAACGCTGCCCCCGAGGTCGAAACCCCTGCTTGCTACTCCCATAGTACAAGCACATGGGTGGCTGGCAACAGTACACGCGCTGCGGCTACCAACTCACGTGCAGTCCCGAACAAGGCAGACCGACCCTGGTTTGCCTTGTTTTGAGGCCACAAGTCAGGCAGGCGAAATGCAAGGACGAAACGTGAGTGGTTTCGTGATCGCATTCGCCCGACTGCCCCGTCACCTCAGCGAGGTTCATCGTGCGTGTAACAAACACTTGGGCAGATTCACACTGCCACGTGTAGTCTGCACCTGTGGGGTACAAGCTCATTATTAGCCAGGCGTTGTTCGCCGACCCCACGTCAGACATTCCATCGTGTGGTTACCAAACCACACGATGCGATTTTCCAAGACAGGTGCATGGAACTAACAACGGCCACACGAATAGTACGGGCCACACAGAACGGGCACCAATGGCTCGTTTTTCCTTTCTCCGTCGCTCCTGCCATTCAAGTCTTCACCACCTGGATTAAGACGGTCGAGTGAAGGTAAGAGCAGCTTTTCTCAACGTCCCGATTTTTTGCAACATCGTTCAACTTTTTCCTGCAGTTGCTTCACTGTTTGACGAGCTTTTGTTTTGTTTTTTGTTTTTTTTTTTTTCTAACTTACTTTCTTATTTTCCTGCAGTTTATCTGGACGGTGATAATGACGGGGGATACATCGCTTAGGTCAAGCTCGCGATAGGTGATCACCGTCAGCAGCTTGCGATTTATCGCGTCCACCTGCACGCCGCTCGCGATCAACCGATGCTGCGGCTCCCGCTTGGCCCCGCTGCGCTCACCGACCCCGCCGTCGTGGATCGCACAGGGAGAGACGCGTCGGCGCTGCGCGCGTCGGCATGGCGCCGAACGGCATCGTTCGCGCGACTGCCGCCGGGGAGGGAGGCTCGGTCGCACGGCCGGCTTCTTTTGTCTCGTAACTGCCGTAGCGCGCGGAGTGGCCGAGAAACGGACACGCGGGGAGCTTCTCCGATGAGTCGGCTCGGCTAGGCACAATCCTCCTGCCGGCCGGCAAGCCGCGGGAAGGGACGGCTGGCTGGTTAGCCGGCGGCGGTGGCATGAGATGCGAGAAAGGCGTGCGAGGGCAACCAGAGGGGCTCGGAAGCACGTACGTGGAAGGCGCCTGAGCGGGACGGCGCCACGGTATCATTCTGAATCATTGCGTTTCGAGCTTGGCTTTGAGTTAACTTTCGTTCTTCTTGCCGCTAGTTTCTTCCTTCTTTTCTAAGTACTAATCTTTTGTTGCTCTCTTCTTTCCAGATCCAACTCAAGACGGACGTGCATAGGAGCTTCGAGAGTTCGTTATCGTCCGGAGCGTTCACATTCAAGACCAATTCACGATCTCTGGACGGGTCATGAGACCTCCGTAGTGTGCGCTTTGAGCTACGCGTTGCGTCGCCAAATGTCGGCCGGAGCGTTCGTTTCGATGTTTGTGTGGATTGGAGCTGGGGGCCATGTGGGAGAAGCTGATTGGTTGTGCTTGGTGTTTTGGTTGTTTTGAACTAAGAGGAACATTTGATGAGGCTGCTAGTTTCATTGTTCTCACATTCGTCGAGTAACCTGTAACACACATCAGGGACAAATAGGGCCAACCATTACTGTTGCGAATTGGACAAATAGGGTGGTTACCATGTGCAGGTTTGAAGCATGCATAAAGCCTAACTAAACTCACGAACCTACGCGAAATACAGTTTTAGCTTACAGACCCCCTTCACAAGGCAACCGGGAGGGGCTCTAACGAGCATCAGGTGTATCTGAATGGTCGTGATAAGATATTGTATCGTTTTTTGCTTAAACTGTACGGATGGTGAACAATCTGTAAGGAAGAACAGGCAAAGGAAGCGGTTCCGAAATGCCTGGGTGATGTCCGACTGTCCATACCCATGAAGTGTCAGCATGGGTGGAAAAAATAGAAGTACCAGGAATCAGTGAGGTGAATGCATGAGACCAACGCTGTGGGGAAGCCCGGAAATTCTGGCCGAAAGAATCAAGGCAAGAGCAAACGGATTGGAGAAGAATTGGACGAGGGCGGGTGACAGCACATGTGACATGGGATCAAGTACTTGTCTGGCAGAGACATGCATGCTGTTTGTTGGGCAAGTGAGAGCGGAGGAGAATGGAAGAGAAGGTTTTGGTTGGAGCGGAGGCAGGGAGAACTAGGTTGAACCTAGAGAGTTGCGAACAGCGGCGCAGAAGGCGAGCGAGAGTTCCGCAAGCGGTGAGCGAGGCATCACAGACAGCATCGACAAAATCTAGGATAGGGAGAGTGGAGATGCTTTTGATAGCTCCACCAGCTTAGCCATTCTAGCCATTCTAGATTGTGAAGTGGCAGCTCCACTAGTCTAGCCATTCTAGCTAGCCTGACAGCTAATAGTAGCTTCACTTCAGTATTCAATTCCGCTCCGCTAACCTGGAACCAGCTAGTTTAGTACCACCTCACTAACTGTGTACTTGACCAAAATCATCCAGTCAGAACCGCCATAGACTGGCGGACGAGAGCCGCTTTTTGCAACCTGGAGCCGCTGTAGCGGTTGTTACCAACCTGTGGTATTTGATTTCGTTGCAGTCAGATGATAATTATTCAAGATCAAGCTGTGTGATTGGAATCTGATGATGACCTAATTTCACCGTCTCCAGAACCGAGCTCGTCGTTGCGTCTGGTTCGCTCAGCTTGCTACGCCATTTCGCAAACCTGATTTCGCAAGTTTGTTTTCGCAAACTTTTTCCCCTCCACTACAAGGTCTAATTGGTTTCGTCAAATTAGGTCAAGAAGCGAATTCTGAAAAATATCAGAGGCGTTTAGAGATGGGTAGAGTGTCAAGGCGCGACAGACTTCCGCCAAAAGAGCCTGTTATTCTCTTCACATTCGCCTCGTCCCTCACTCCTAGTGCGTGGGACGCGGCGGCGGATGCGGTGGAAAACACACCGGGCCAGGCACCTGCGCATCCCGACAAAGATCGCGAGACGCAGCTCGTATATTACATCGGCATCGCGCGAGGGCCGTCCATTCTCGTTGATTTCGGCCGGTACAGGAAGATTCTGCGAAGCGCCGTCGCTGCCGTGCTGGCAGACGCTCCTCGGCACTGTAGCACATACTCTTTGGTGAGGCGTCAGCAGGAAACGTATTTTGTTTCATTCTTTTTCCTTTTATCGACCGAGCAACATTTTCATGCTACCACGCAACTGATAAGCAGAATGTAGCCGTTTAGGGGAGTAGATTCAGCGAAGTGAGAAGTGATAAGTCTCTGCCTCTTCTACGTTGGTATTAGCCTCGATCCATTCCAGCAAAATTCAGAGACTGTAGTGAGTCGTCGAGTCTTTATCATTTTGTCCGCTTTTCGTCACTCCACCACAAACCCTAGTTTAGCGTTCGTGTATTAAGACAATACACCCAGGAGAAAGTATTTCTGGTCATAACCCTAATCAGGGTTATCTCCCCCTCTCCCTCCTCCCTCCCTCAATCTCGTCCAATCTCCACCGCTCATTCCTCCCCTTCACCCTCCCAACAGGGCTACGGTCGCACCAACCTCTTCCTCTCCTTCGGTCAGAGTTTAATCAACTTCGCTGTCGGACTTTTGAGGCGCCTCAAAAGTCCTCCTCTCCTCCGGTCAGGGTTTTAATCCCCTTCGCTGTCGGACGTCGCGCTGAACCCCTGCAGGACCATTCAGATCCTTTTCCCGCTCCCCTACAAATCCCTTTCCCCCTCCCCACACTGCTCCTTCCCTCTTCCTTTACCTGCTCCCAACAGGGCTACGGTCACACCAACCTCTTCCTCTCCTTCGGTCAGGGCGAAGGACGGGCCTGATCGTCTTCGTTGTCGCGGGCGATGCCCTAGACCGCCGCAGAGCCTTTCAGATTCTCTCCCAGCTGCCCTTCAACTGCGCCCCTCATCATTCCCCTTCTCTCCCGTTTCCCCCCTCGTACCTTCCCTCCTCCCTGCTCTCATCAGGGCTACGGCCGCACCAACCTCTTCCTCTCCTTCGGTCAGGGTTTAATTGCCTTCGCTGTCGCGGACGATGCACTAGACCGAAGTAGGGCGTTCCAGATTCTCTCCCAGCTTCGAGCCACCGTCATCCACACTCTCTCTCACACGCTCTCGCCGCACGCCCCCTCGCTCCCGCACCCCCGCTCGCACTCGCTCGCCGCTCTCGCCGCCGCGAACGCGCTCCGCCAGCCGCCGCAAAGACCGCTGGGCGCGCCTCCGGCGAGCAAGTGTAACTGTGTAACGGTTACAACTCCGCCGCCGCGTACGGAAGCGCCCGTGTCAACCGCACTCCCCGCAGCAGCAGCACAGGACGGCGAGGGACAAGCCACGTCAGCAGCTACCCCCGTCAGTAGCGCGACTAGCGGTGACACAGACACGGTTAAGACTGATTCGACCACCCTTACCACCACCATCACCACCACCACCACCATCAGCAGCAGCAGCAGCAGCGGCAGCGGCAGCAGCAGCAGTAACGCGTTTCCATCTGGTCGATCGGCTAAGATAACTCGCTCTCTATCCGCGCATTTCGCCCCGACCTTCCTCGCGGATTGTCTGGAAGCGACCTTCAGGGAGGTGGTTCGATCCGCTAGAGGCCGCCTCCGTAAGCGCACAGTGCTGCAACTGTACCCCGACGCGCCGCACGCGTATCTCGTGAATAAAAAGAACGTGCTCGAGCCGGATATTCTAGACCCGTCCGAGACCGGCAGTAACAGGCTTGTAACGGGTACAGGCGCCTCAGAACACAGCAGCAGCGACCCAGGCGGAAACCTCAGCCGCGGGGGAAGAGAAGGAACGGGTGAAGCAGGGGGGGCGGGAGGCGCAGGAGGAAGCTTCCAGGGCGGAAGGGAGAACCTTCTAAGCTCGCAAGTGAGCGCGAGGGAATCCCTAATGAGCGAGCTTTCAGATATGATGGCGGATTTCGAGGTGGGGGATTTTGGGGAGAAGCTCGTGGTGTCGCGGACGGGGAAAGATGATGAATACGTGGATGACGATGAGTGGTACAGGCAGACCCGCGGACAACCCCCCATGATGACCACCAATGCGCGCGGCCTCGGGATTGGTCCAGGGCTAGGGTTAGGGTTAGCGTCTGGTGCTGGAGGGGGCGGGGGGAGGGGTGGAGGGGGGGGAGGCGGAAGGGGAGGCGGAGGGGGAGGCGCGGGGGGAGCGGGGAACAGTCCGCTGCTGGATTTCGCGCAGCATGCGCGGGCGGCGGGGCTGTTCCCGTCGCACTCGCACTCCGCCGTGTTCGCACCCATGGGCGCCCGCTCCGCGTCCCTTGGTGTGGGCGCAGCGCTGCCCTTGGTTCCCGCGGAATACGCGGGGCTCGTCCCTATCAGGTCGGGGGGAGGGGCGGCGGGGGCGGCGGGCGTTGGGGTGGCAAGGGGGGGAGGGATGGGGGGAGTAGGAGGTGGTGGGGCCGAGCGACAGCAGCAGCAGCAGCAGCAGCAAGCGCATGCTTTCCCGCGGGCAGCAATGGGGGGCGTGTTGAGAGAAGGCTCAGCAGAGGGGGATGCATGGGAGCAGCAGGGGGAGGGGAGAGGAGAGGGGAGTGGAGATACCCAATTAGGAGCAGGTACAGGAGCTCGGCACAGTATCTCTCTCTCCCACACAGAACCCTCGTCAGACACCACAGTGGTTCCGGATTTTCACCTGAACCCTCACCTGACAGGGCACCTGACAGGGCACCTGCCAGGGCACGCGCCAGGGCACGCGCCAGGGGGGATGCAGAGAGCAGGTGTGGGGCGGAAGCTGGGGGAGGGGCACCGGCGCATGGGGGGGAGTGAGGGCGCCCTTGGCGCGCTAGACACTAGCATCCTGGAGGTCACCGTTCCTAACAGCAGCGGTTTTGGGAACAGCGCGTTTGGGAGCAGCGGTTTTGGAAGCAGCGGTTTTGGGGGCAGCGGGTTTGAGGGGGGCGGGTCTCAAAGAATCGGTGGGGAAGCAGGGGGGGCAGGAGTGGGTGCAAGCGGCAATGAGGGGTTTTACCCTGGTGGTGCTGCAGCCGGGTTTCCCCCTGCAGGGTTCTCCCAGCCTGGGTTTTCGCCTGCAGGGTTTTCCCAGCCAGGGTTTTCGCCTGTAGGGTTTTCTCCTGCTGGGTTTTCCCCGGGTGCTGCTGGGGGTGGCGTTGGGCATAGTGTGGGTGGTTTCTTGTTCAGTACCAGTTTCAATGCAGGCGCGGGCAGCAGCAGCAGCAGCAGCGGTGGTGGCATTGGCAGTGTTGGGAGCAGCAGCAATCCATTTGAAGAAGCAGCCAATCGGATCAAGAGTCAGAGGTCCGAGTTTGATAGCCTCTTCCCGCCGCAATCAGCAGCAGGGGATATAGAGGAGGACGAGGAATTCGACCGGACCGCCCTCACCGGACCTGCAAGTTCGGGCGGGAAGGAGTTCGTCCGGGCGCAGGCTCGGCACCAGGCTCGGGAGTGGGGCACGATGCGCATGCGGCTGAAATCGGGGCAGATGTCTCCGATGCTAAAAGGGGCTTTAAGTGTGTTTAGAAGCCCGACGGTGCAGGAGAAAACGGCAGGGGGGATGCGGCCGGCCACTGCTGCCAGGATTTCGGCTTTAACTGCTGGAGGGGGCGGGGGGATGAGAGGGGATGAGAAGTGGAGTGCAGGACTCAGGCCTTTATGGGCTTCTTTTAAGAAAGGGGCGAGTGGGAAGGAGAAGGAGGGGGGCAGTGGGAAGGAGCGGTAAGGGAAGGAGTGGGAAGAAGAGGGGGAAGGGGAGTGGAAAGGAGAGGGAATTGTGGAATGTGAAGGGAAGGTAGATTGTGGAAAGGGGGGGTATGATGGGGGGGAGGGACGCGAGTGGGAAAAGAGGAGTGTAACTCTTGGGGAGGAGAGTGGGGAGAGGAGTAGAAAAGAAGCATTTAGGAGCATTGTTAACCAGATGATTATTTTATGGAACAGGCACCAAGAGCTTAATGAAAGTGGTTGCGGACTGTGGTGGCTGCGACTTGCATGTGCAAAGCTGTAGAGAGGGTCATACCACTACATGACTCACGAGCTTTCCTTGAGTTGTTTGTTAGAGACGCCGTAGGGCAGGGTCAGGGTGATGCAATGTGCACCTTTATTGGGATGATTTGGCATATGCTATGCACTTCACTTACCATACTCCTCACAGGTGGATGGAACGCCCCATTCTTTACCGAACAATAAACAATAGCATTGGCTAACGCCTACTTGACCTTCAGCTACACCACCTCTCGCAAATACGGTTAGGTCGCTTCAGTACTGCGGCTTATGGTGAGTGGGTGGAACTTCAAACACCCTAGGAACCACTGCAAGGTAGGGAGGAACCGAAGTGGAACCAAAGGTCCCTTCCGCACCAAGCAGCCACACAACACGACACGGCACACGAGTTTTGTGGTTTGGAGGGTGGGCCCCGTACAAAGGCGGATTCCGAGGGCTAACTGTACAAGGAGGAACAGTTGACTGCAGCAATTGCAATACAGTACTGTTTGGCTGATCCACGGTTGGGAATGAATGCCGCCCGTTCCGCCATGCCCTACTTTCAGCAATCACACCAGCACTTTCTGCTTTCCTGACCTCCTTAGATTTTTTTTAGGCATATTTGCTACGAAACTAGCGGATGCCTCTTTGTGTAGACGTTTGGTACGAGTTTAAACTACTAACGGTAACATTTTCGCCAAAATCGTTAGGTTATTTGGAAAACACCACGAGGACACAGAGCTGAGGTCGAACGCACATTTGAGTTTCCACGTACATATGCATCCAATCGTGTGTTCTTCTGCACACGCACGAAGAATTTGGGAGTTATGCGGAACATCGTTTACCCTGTTCGTTTGTTACACGTCATAACGATCTCTTCGTAACCGGCCTTGGTAGCCTACGAGAATTGACTGCGAATCGGGCCCTGCCCCATAAGCTCAACCTTCGATAGTCGAGCATTCTTCGCCTTACAAATGTTGAAATAGTCGAAAACAGGTCGACCAATGTTCATTTGTTCGAAAAATTACATGAACTTTGCAATCTGCGCTGACAGATACGCCCTTCGGGTTCAGTTGTGCCAGCATTTCTATGGTACAGAATTTGCACGGACCCATCTTTGCCCGATTTCGTCCTCGAAAGTTGAATTGTACTGTAATGGTGTCGATTGGATACACCCCTGGATTTTCTCGATCGGATCTTATAAAGCGATCGGGACACCGTGTCGTCTAGTAACGGGTTACCCGTCACATGTGGTTGCGGGGGCGGCACATTTCGAGTCGCAGGTGTAGAAGTCCTTCCTCTAGTCGCGCCTCCAAGTGACGCGGTTTTCGTGTACACCTAGCCACCGCTATTTTCAACTTCTGACCTTGGCACTGTTCCCGATTTTCATGTAATCCCTGCCCAGCTTTTGGGGTTTTCTGTTAGAAACCTCGTTATAGGGGACTATGAATGACATCAAATGGAGATTTCAATCGGGCGAGTGTAAGACAATTTCGGCTCGTGTGGAGTCTGCTTGTTGTTGCGCATCCCATTGCGTAGCTTTCAGGAGTCAGGAACTAACTCTGCGTAGAGCGTATGACGTCCGACACAACCCTCGGTCAAAAACGTTTTGAAGGGTGCCTACCCCTTTGCACACGTGGGGGTTGAAGATAGACCGAAAGAAAATAGCGGTGGTTAGGTGTAACTGTTCTAATTTCACCCTTGGCCAAATCTGGTTCAACTGTAGAACTCAGGAACCATGTCAGGAACTTGTTGTGTGTAGCCAAAGTGCAATATGATTGGTCCTACTGCGTTTTTTGGTTCCTTTCGAAACATCCGTCCTACCCAGCATCTGCACTCCGTTTCCATGCCATTCCACTCGCTCTGTCGATAGCACAGTGCAAGTTGGACTTTTATTTTGTCCGCCGTACAGTTAGCTTGCATATCATGCTTTGGTACATGTACACTGCAGAGGCTATGGTATGGGGCACTGGGGCTGTGGAAGAACAGGAGGCATTGGGGCACTGGGACAAGTTCGGGTACGTGTACGCAGCTTGAAAATTTGACAATTACACCATAGATACAGAAAATAACGGGTACTTACCTTCTACGCCAAGCCTCCTTCCCCGTGTCGACGTTGTCAAACTCTGATACATTGCTTTCCCCGACAGCCAAAAGCGATGCCCGCGATCCGAAGGTTGAAGGGACCAAATCAGACAGAAACATCCTCGCCATCATGCAATTTGCTAGCATTTGCAACTGCCTGCCTGGAGCGGGACGGGAAAGCTGGGTTGCTGGTGGCCTGTCTGCTGGTGTTTGGCTGGGTGGGGTTGGGTGGTGGTGGAGTGGATGATGATTGGGCAACCATTGGGCCATCCGACGCCGCCACCGCCTTCGTCATCTCTCCCGTGCACCACCATTCCACCTCCTCTTCTCATCCCGCACTCACAAAATTCAAATGCATGACTCGCTACGCTACTTCCTCTGACATCCACCACACACTCCAACGAATCCTTCCCTCATTCGTGCGGGCGTCTTCCTTCTCCCTGAGAGGCGAAGTTTTTGTTCCTTCACATCTCAGTGACACTGCCACCAAGCCGTGACTAATTTCCCTCCCTCTAAAACTCGCAGCCGATCATTTCAGAACCTCCGGGCCGTACTTCACATTCCAGCAAAACAGCTCCTCCCAGCTGACTGCCATGGAGGTCGCGTACGAGCGCCACCGATCGCTGAGCATCAGCGATGCTCCCATCACGTCAGAAGCCATGCACGCCTCGCCTTTACTACCGCCGGGCACCGGGCCCTACAATCCCGCGGCTTCTGCCGGATCCTTCGGCGAGGCTCGCACGCGGTCGCGATCCGCCTCTTTCTCCACTTACTGCCCTCCGCCTATCGTCGTCCCTAGCAACAACTTATCAGATCCCGCCTTCCCCGGTTCCACCTCCCCGTCCCCTTCCGGCTACCAGGATCCCGCCTTCCCCGCTACTTCCTGCTCCCCTTCCCCGCAAGACTTTGGCCTTAGCAGCTGCGAGAACTCCCCCGCGTTTCCCGCCCACTCCCCAACTGAGTTTTTCCAGGCTCGCACCGTGGTTCGGAGCCCGAACCAGGAGCTGGTTCGGCAACGGGCAGCGGAATCCGCGGATATGGACAGCCAATGGGAATTGCCGCCCAGCCCCGGCGTGCGCACGCCCTGCACGTGTCGGCGCAATCCTTGCGCGTGTGCGGTTCTCGCGAAGCGGGCAGCGCGGACGGGGCCTCCGCTTTCGTCATCAAATTGGGGCCGTCGATTGCGGCGCTCCTTAAGCGGAGGCACAAACGCCGCCGGCGCCTCCGACGGGGAAGGCGGCGCGGAACCGAGGCGCTCGCGATCCCTCCTACTGCGCCGCAGCAAGACGAGCGCCAATTCCAACGCCACGTCGGATACGGAAGACATGGGATACAGCTCCGGCACGGGCGGCGCCGCGAACGGCGAGTCGGGGCGGTCGACGTCGGGCCGGCGCGCGCAGTTCGCGCGGCTGTTCACGCGAACCGGCACGGCGCCACCACGTCCGTCCAATGCCAACGGCTTCCACTCGGGATCTCTCGAAGGAATTTTTATCCCAAATAACGCGGCTCCCTGCGCCGCCGCCAATCATGTTAGCCCGCCTGCGGCGAGCCGCGGGTTTGTAGCGCGGTGCGTGTCGGTTGACGCGGCAGCGGCTGGGATGTCCGGCGGCATTGGCGGGGTTAGCAACGCCGAGCGGTCTAGTCGCCCGTCGTCTGCGACGTCGCAGAAGTACAGCCGATCGCCGTCGCCGACGTCGTCAGGATCGCGTGGAGCAGCGGCGAAGGGCGAAGGGGGATCAGGCTGGCGAATAACGGGTTCGCGAGTAACAGCATCGGGAATTACGTCGCCGCCTCCTGCTGACCTTTCGCCGGAGAGTCTCCCGATGGGACCGAGCCATCCGAGCCGCGGCGGCGCGCCCGTGCCACGTGTCATCTCCATCGACAACGCCGTGGCGTGGCTAAACAGCACGCGGAAGGGAAGCAGCCACAGCCAAGGGAGGAGAAGCGTCGATGGTGCCGTAACTGATGGCGCCAGTCCCGCTAGTAGGGTACCCGCGAGACGCGCGTCGTTCGGGGGTGGGTCTTCGCGCGCGACAAGCACTTCTATCGGATCCGCCACTAGCGCGAACGAGGACGACTTGAGCCGCGCGTGGGACGATTTCACCGCATCTGCAGCGGCTGCGGCAACTGTTGCCGGCTGTAGCGCCGCCGCCGGCGACAGCGGCGTCTCCTACGCGCGCCTCTTGGAGCAGCAGGCGGCTGTAGCGCGGAAGCGACAGCCGGCGGCGGCGGCGCTACAGCCGCAGTCGCAGCAGAAGGCGAACGGAGGAGCAAAGCAAAACTCGTTCCGACCCTCCGCAAGCTGCGGGTCGCTAGTGGATCTCGCACCGGATGATTCCAGCCCGGTTGAGTACGGCGGGGGTGGTTATGGAGGGAGCGGCTTCGGGGGTGGTTACGGAAGTGATTTCTCTAAACCCTCGAAATCGAAGGGTAATTTGAACCTCGGCTCCACGCATCCTCCAACCAGGAGGAGTTTATCCCGCCCAACCGCTCCCCCTCCGCGGCCTTTTTCCCCCAACGCCGCTCCGCGCGCCACTCATTCGCGCTCGCCTTCCGCGTCCAGCGCAGTAGGCATTTCCCCGCCGGGGCAGAGTCGGGGCGGAGAATCGACGGAGCCGATTCGATTCCGCGTGAACACCAACGGCAGGATCTACCGTTCACACACCACCCCCGCAAATCTTGCTCCCTCCGCTTCCGCTTCCGCCTCCTCCCCTTCTTCCGCCTCCGCCGTCGCCGGCGCCGGCGCCGCCTCCGCTTCCTCTCGTACGCGTCATTGCGTGATCCCAAACTCGCTATCGTTACAGGATCCCTGCGAGCCAACGGATCTCTTGAACAGCCCCACCATTGGCCGATCAATTCCCGACGCGGGCAATGACACGTCAGCGCCGCCGGCGGCGACGTCATCGTCGTCCGGCGTCAGCCCGCCGAACCGCGGCGAACGGCGGCCGACGCGCCAGGTGTCGTTTAACGAGCTCGTGCGCGTGCGGCGCATTCCGCGGCACTTCTTCTCCGCGGATATGGCGGCGGCGGCGATGGAGATCGCGAGCGGGAATGATCCGACGGCTGGGAACGCGACGGCTGGCAGCGCGAGTCAAGCAACTGCCGGATGGCAGTCGATCAACGGGGTCCATACAGCTTCCCCTAAATCCCCCGCTTTCTCGGCTTCCGCCGCTTCCGCTGGTACTGCGCAAGGGCCGATGGGGGCCGAGTCGCCCGGCGGAAGGGCGGGGGGAAGGAAGGGCGATTCCGCGGCTGCGCCCGCGCGTTCTTCCGCCCATGCCGCTGCTGTTGCCGCCCCAGCGCAGCCCAGATCCGCCGCGCCTACGTCTTCTCCCGCCCCTGCGCCTGCGCCTGCGCTCGTGCCCACGCCTCCCCCTGGGTCTTCCGCCTCCGCGGGGTCGGGAGGCGCGCGGAGGGTGAGCAGGAGCGGAAGCTGGTCGTCGACCGGCGGCTCGGCTGCTGCGCGGAACGCACTGCCGGGCGGCGCGAGCTACGGGAGTGGCCGCGACGGTAGCAGCGGCGGATATCGCGCTATTCACAGTAACGGGATCAACAATAACGGGGTTTCTCCGACCGCCGCTGTCACTCCTACTTATCGGGTGGGCGGAATTGGCGGTAGGGTGGAACGGACCGACGGCGGAAGCGGAACTGGCGGTACTGGTAGGGGAAGCGGCGGAACGGACGGAGAGGCCAGAGTGGGCGGCAGTGGCCATTCTCCGGGCGGCAATGGCAGCTATGCGGGCGGCAGCGGCGGCAGTGGCAGCTATGCGGGCGGCAGCGGCGGCAGTGGCATGGGCGGCAGGAATGTGCCTGCTTTCGGGGAAACAGGTGACAGGAAACAGGCGGCAGCTGGGTCGGGTGCGGTTGGGTTGGGTGCGCCTGTCCGACACGCCAGGAGCCGTAGCTTCGTGGAACGTTCGGGGAACGATGTTGCGCGCATGGCCGCGTTGGCAGCAGCAGCAGGAGCAGTAGCAGGAGGGGGAGGGGGGAATGGGCGGGGGACAGCGGGGGGAGGGATGGTTGCCCGGTGCAGCAGCGTCAGCCTCTCGGATCGCCCAACGGCTGACGTCAGCATTCGTAGCGGCGGCAGCAGCAGCAGCGGCAGCATTCCCCTGCGCAGGAACTCCGACCGCCCGGAAAGCGCGAACCAATCAGAGCGATTCGAACTATCAGAGCGTGCCGAGCGATCGGAGCAATCAGGGCCGTTGGATCGGCCCAGCACGCGGAGCCTGTCAGTGTGCCCGCCTTCCCCCGGCACCCGCCGAGATGCCTTCCTAGGAAAGCCCGAGATTAATGGCTGTAGCAGCGCCGGCAGCACCAGCAGCAGCAGCACCTTCAGCAGCAGCACCAGCAGCTCTGGCAGTGGTATCGGCAAGGGTGGTACTGATGGGGATGGGGGTAGCGGTAGCACTGTGCGTAACAGCAGTGGTGGTAACGGTGGCGGCGATGGTGGTAACCGCGTGCCGGGCCCTTCGGTTACCTCGCCGCCCGCTCCGCGCTTCTCCCCACATCCGCCGAGTCACGCCGCTCGAAGCCCCGCCTCATCAGCCCGGGCAGCAGCAGCAGCGCGCGGAACCCCGTCGCACACGCAATCAGCTGACCGCCTGCCTCTGCAGAAAGATCTTTCAGGGACAGGGACCTTTCATGGGGGGTTACCGCAGGGGCCACTGCAGGGGCTACAGGGGTCACAGGGGACACAGGGGCTACAGGGGCCACTGCAGGGGCTACAGGGGTCACAGGGGACACAGGGGCTACAGGGGCCACTGCAGCACCCCCCTCAGAGCCCCCACCAGAGGCTGTCGTCACAGGGCCTCCCCCTGCACTCCCCTCGGCACGCTCGCCACCACAGCATGGGCAGCGCCGCTGCTCTTGCCTCCTCCCACCCTTCCCCTCGCGCTACAGCCCACGCCACAGCCCATGTTGTTGCTGCTCCTCCGCTTGCTACAGCTGCTACAGCTGCTGGACTGGTTCAAAAGACTGCAGGGGAAGCTGTCTCTCGTCCTTTACCCACGGGGCAGAGAAGGCCGCCCAGCGTGCTGATTGGGATCTCTCAGTCGCTTCGCTCGCACTCGGTTCAGTCCCCATCCACTCCCCGCTCCCCCCGCTTGCACGCGGTTCAATCTCCACCCACTCCCCGCTCCCCAGGCCACCACTCCTCGCCACCGCTCTCTCCACGTTCCTCCGCTCCTCTCTCCCCTCGCTCTTCTGCTCCACTTTCCTCTCGTTCTTCTGCCCCTCTCTCGCCTCGCTCGTCTGCCCCTGCTCCTCTATCCCCTCGCTCTTCTGCCCCTCTTTCCCCTCGCTCATTCTCTGCTGCCCCTCTTTCTCCGCGCTCTTCTGGCCCTGCCCCTCTTTCCCCTCGCTCTTCTGCTCCTCTCTCCCCTCGCTCATTTGCCACCCCTCTCTCCCCCCGCGCCTCTGCCCCCCTCTCCCCTCACTCATCTGCGCCTTTCTCCCCCCGTTTTCCTAATGCACGCTCCCCAATGCCACGCTCCAACACCACCACTACTCGCACTCCTTTCCCTCCCCCTGCTGCGGCGGGGTTTAAAGCCCCAGCAGCACCGGACCAGTCACGTGCAAGAAATGCACCGGCCCCCCGCCGACACATGCGCTCTGCAAGTGTTGCAGGAGTCACGTGCACATGAAGGGAACATTGTGGTAGCGATATACAGTAGCACTGTGCTTGTGTGGTATTTTCTTAGTAGGCTTTTTTCACCTCCAATAGTTAATATGGAGGGTCTCTCAAGTACGCCCCCAACTGGTTTCCTAGTGTATTTCTTGTTGGGAATAATATTTTGATGCTGGGAATATTAGTTCACTGGTACCATTTCCTTAAGGTGCAAGGCATATGGTGATTCATGCAAGGGCCAACTGGTCAAGTGAGTTACTGGAACGTAGTAAGAGTTTCCGTTTACATACTGGTATTGCGATTACAACGCAACAATTTCTGTTGCAAGTCTCCTTTTTTATATCAAAATACATTACAAGAATGTATACATTACATTGCAAGTCTCCTGAACATTTGAATGTCACACCTAGCTACAAAATCTAGAGCTCTACTGTAGTGGGAGTTGAGGATTCTAGGCACCACGTTCGTGACGTGGCGTGATTAGGCGAGTCTCTTGAGGAGTGTGCCGCGTCACCAGCCGAAAAATGCAATCACCAAGCCAATGACTAGGAGGGAATTCCTGCAGCCAATCGAGGCGTGAGATATGAGCCGACGCTGTGTGAGATCATGAGGTGAGGGTGCTCACAGGTGGCAAGTTTTACCTCTCACGATCAATTGCGGGACCGCTTGGAGGACACATGGGCAACCTTCATTGGCCTGCCAGGTAAGAAACATTGGTTGTCGGTTCTGCAACTGACAATTGAGACCCCTAACTCGAAGGAAGAGACCCACCCCACCTGAGCCATCCGGGCACTCTGGTGGATCTGCGTCGTAGTTACCCTTGGTGCGAAGTTTTACTACATACTGCTGAAGAATGTGGTTTTGGTAGTTCCGTCGAGCCCACGTTTTACTGTACTTGGTTTGTGATTCTGAACAATTTCACAGGAGTGCTCCCTGACATGACCCAACAGCGATGTCACCTCGTTACGAAAAGCACCTCGTTTCCCGATTTTCATGCCCCATATTGTCGGTATCGAGTAACAGATGCGCCAAACGCTGTACGTTGTGCAATGCGGTGCGGTGCCTCACATTGTTTCTACACTTCCAAACATTTTATATTCTCGCTTCTGTTCTTTGTTTCACTACCTACGCTGGCATAGAACCCATAATTTGATTCATAAATTCCTAACATAATCGAGGTTTTGAGGGTTGTGTGCTGAATTAAATTTTATACACTAGAAGCCTTCCATAGTTGTCCACCTGTGTTCAAAATTCGCTGAGAAATACCTTAGGGGAAAAGGCAAAGAAAATTGCATAGATGTACAGTATTTGTACCAGTCCTGTATACCCTCGTTCTCACCACATGCACAATCACCACATGAACATACCTGTAATGACATCGATGCGTCCAGAATGGTCCAAGAACATACGTTGTAAGCACATTTGCCTTACTCAACCGTACTAAAAAAACAATTTACTTTTATATACCGTTGTATACCGTTCTTTATGGAGTCTGTTTGACCGACAATTACCTAGTATTCGGCTCCAAGCACCAGATCGCTAGGATCCAAGTAACAGTACGCACTGTAGCCAGGGCTCCCAATTGTGCGTAGGCCGAGAATGAGGGTGTACAATAGAGTCATTGCTCGCCCTATCCCGTGTTCAAAGGTTCTTCCATACAGAAAAACAATCACTCACGAATTTTTTTCCATGATTGACCAAATTGAGGATGTCGCTAAATTCAGTGTACAGTCACCAAGTCGAGGAAGGAAAAAAACATACAGTACATAAACAGCAACAGTTGCCAGTTTAGCTGGTTACGAAAGTTAAACATCCAACAAAAAAACTACATTTCATTGTCATTTTACAGCGAAATGCCAAAAACTCGTCATGCCCGCCTACCTGGTGTTCTCGTAATGAGCACCGACTGTACAGTATCTTCATTTCCTCCCTTCTGCTTCTGATCACACAATCCATCAAGATCAGCTGTGCGTGCTGCGCGCGGCTTGCTGCTCTGCTGCCAACTCGTGTAACGAACGACGAAGCAGCAAGTTCGCTCGAGCAAAAATCAAACATCGCGCTGTAACGCCCAGCCTGATGCGGCCGCCGTCAACCTTGGCCGAGATGGCGCCTTCCTGAAGTGTTCACCCCATCCTTGAAGTTTGTCCACCATCCAAGTTTTGGACGACCAGTGTGTGGTTAGCGTCACTAGTTAGGTCGATCCTTGGGAAATGGCGAGGTAAATTAGTTAGGTTCTGGAAAGATGAGCTCATGAGCCGTGTTTGGCTTACCTGTAGGTAACGCGCAGAAATACGCGACGGCCATGCACGATCACCGAATTACGCGCGCTTATCTCACATTATGATTCAGGTGGCTCAACTGTGGGACCAGATTTTCAACGGCATTGCCTCTCGTTTCAAGGAGCGTCCTCAGCTACCTATCGTGCTAACGCAGAGGAACGTATTTATATTCTTATGATGGTCAAGTAGTATCAACGCGTGTAGGTTGCATGGTGCCGCCGAATGCCGTATTAATGTGCGCTGTTAGTACGACTTTTGCCTGTCACCCGTGCAATTTTTAAGGAACCGATTAAGAGTTAAAGAGCGGCTCGTCGTTCGACACGAGCACTCTATTTCTACGATCGTAACGAACAGCTCTCGGCAAGAACCGTCGCATCAGTCGCAGCTGTCGTTGCTGTTGTCGCGGAGGGAGTCTCAAGACAGCGCGCTGGCTCGCGACGAAGCAGCGTCGCACAAGGGAGTCGAGCAGGGGTCGCAGAGGGGAATCGCAGGCGTCGCGGAGTGAAGTCGCAGTCTACCATCGCACGGCGATCGTCGCGGCGATGGAGCAGGAGTTAGTGAGCTACGCGGGCGTGGCGTGGCGGGGCCGCGTCGTGGCGGATTATGGCCGCGAGACGGCCGCGCTCGCACCGGCTGTTACGGAGGCGATTAAATACCTCCCTCCTTTCGCCACTCAACTGTCACTCGTAAGATTGTGTCGCCTTTCTTTGCGCAAACTCCCCAACCCCTTCAAATTGGCTTCCCCTCAACGGGCAACGGTTCCGCACTCATCCGCCGAGACTGAGAAGGCGCGCGCGCGACTATCTCCACCCCCACCTCTTCCTCTCTCCTCCCCCCTCTCCCCCTTCCCTCCCCCCCCTCCCCTCATTCCCCCTCCCCCCCTCCCCCCGCTCTCTCCCCCCCCAGGGCTGCGGGCGGGTTTTCGCGCTCATCCAGCGCGCGCGCGATGAGCCTTCCGACTCCGCCGCTGCAACGGTGACGACCGGAGGGCAGCGTGCGAGCGGCGCAAACAGCGCGAGTGACGCGAACAGGGCGGGCGAATCGTCTGAGCGCGGCGCCGGCGTAGCAGCCGAATCGCAGCGCGGGAGTGACTACAACGGGGCGGTCTTCTTTCTAATTGGCTACGAGCCGCTTAGTAAGGACCAAGCGCGCGCGCTTCTCGGGCGGATCCGATGCGCGTTTCAAGACGCCGTGATTGCCGCTGGCAAAGCTTCGTCTCTTAACGAAGCCGCTTCTAACGAAGCCGAGCTTTGCGACGACGACGCGCTTCGCGCCTCCGTCCGCCAATCGCTTGCCGCCACGTTTCGTTGCTTTCGCGGGCGGATCGCCGACGAGCATTCGGCGCTAATCGTGTACGATGACGCTCCTAACGCGTACAAAACGCGCGTGGAAGAACGGCCTCCTAATGAACACGGTGAGAGCGACGGAAGTGACAGTAGCGATAGCGACAGTAGCGAATCAGGAAGCGGAAGCGAAGGGGAAGGTGAGGGTGAGGACGGAGGGAGAAAAACGAAGAAAAAAAAGGTTAAATCGAAAAAGAAGGGGAAAAAGGAGGGGAAATGGGACTGGGTGAAAAAACAGGAGGACGCAGACAATAGAAAGGCGCAGCGGGCAGCTGAACGAGCTAGGGTCCAAAAACGGGCAGCCGAAAAGGTTGAGGTTGAAAAGTGGGAAGGTGATTCGGAAAACGCGCATGAAAAATCAGGGGCATGTGGAGCAGGGGAAGCACGCGCCGGGGGGGCCGTGGGGGAAAAGGGAGGGGAAACGGGGGCGGAAGGGCAAGCTGACGCGGACGCGCAGCTGTTGGCGCTGAAGCGCGAGATAGAGGAGGCGCAGGCGCAGCTGGAGAAGCTGCAACGCGGGGAGGCCGTACCTGCGGCGCAGGGCGAGGCGGAAAAGGGCAGGGCGGAAGAGGGCGGGGGGGAAGAGGGCGGGGGGGAAGAGGGCGGGGGGGAAGGGGGCGAGGCGGAAGGAGGAACAGGAACGGGAACAGGGACAGGGACAGGGGTTAGTGCTTCCCAGCAAAGACAGCAGCAGCAGCAGCAGCAGCAGCAGCAGCAGCAGCAGCAGCAACAGCAGCAGGAGGAGGGGGAACAGCAGGGGGGGGTGGGAGCAGAGGGGCTGCGCTTGGCCGGCAGAACTTTGTCCGTATCCATCTCCCTGGACCAATACGACGAGAGCGCTGACGTCAGCAAGCATCTGCAGTTGTGGCACAGGGAGAATGCAGCTGAGCAGGCAACCGCTGATGCGTCACCACGTGCTCGCGCTGACGTGGCAGCAGCTGCTGCCAGTGATCAAGTGCTAGCTGGCAGCGATGGCCCAGCTTTCCGTGAGGCTGATGCGCTGGACCAGAAGCTTCCAGGAAGCTTCACTCCCACTTTAAACCCCCCTTCATGGGGTGTAATTAGCACTCCCTCAACAGCAGCAGTAGTTAATTCCTCATCACTCCACAGCGGTATTGATTTGTATCAGAGCTACACAAACGGGGATACTGCAACCACCACAGAAATTAGTAGCATCGTGGCTGACGTGGCCGCCACGTCAGCAGCGGCCCACGCTACA